AGATCAAGTCTCATCAGCTGTACAGAATACCAACAGTCCTGATAGCTTCCTAAAGTATATAGCTTCAAATGTTTGTTCTCTAGCACATAATTGTTGTAAAAATATTTTTGAGGATATTGCATGCTGTATAAAATTTCCCGTATAAATTTTCTTTCAGAATTTAATCTCAGGGAACATACTATTTCCTCAGAGGTACTAGCATATTCCTCCTGTCTGCTCAAGAAGAATCATGCAATTCATTGTTTCCCTTTTCTTCTTGGCTGGCAGAAATCTTAAAACCAATGTAGCCATTCACTCAATAATATGGAGTTGGCATATATACTTTCCTTCACTTTTTGTGTTGATTTTCTATTTTATGAATTAATTTTAAATTGTCTATATTATTGGTATAAAAAACAGTATTTTTAAATCTAAATAAAACACCATAAGTATTTTAGTTGTTAGAAAATTGGTAATGTAATTGGTAAATTAGTTGTAACGATAATAGATTATTATTTTATCTTACTTTTAAGAAACTGCCCTAAACCAACACAGCACTCACTGTTTCTTCAATACCTAGAATGCAAATTGTTCTATATGACTATTATACATAGTCAGATGCTATCTGATTTCACTCTGGAATCACTGGCCATTTTCATTGTGATCTTGAAACTATCACGTCTGTTTCCATAGGATAAAATTCTAAACCATCTGAAGATTCTGAAGGGAGACAGGGACGAGATTCAGAATTCTCAAGTCTATAGGAGAAGATGAGATTCAGGCCCTGCTGGTAAGAGAGGTCCCAGTGCATGTCCTGTGCACAAGTGTGTGTGGGGTGGAGGTGCAGGTAGCAGGAGCCATAGGGCGGACGGGGTGGTGCGCACATGGGGGGTGAAGAATGGGAGGGGCTGAAGAGATTCCTGTTTTGAACTCATCCCCACAAGATCTCACAGATGTTCTGTTGTTTCCTAGCTTCTCAAAAACCACCTTTCTCTTTCTTCCTTCACTGTAAACCAAATTCCAGAACCACAGGCAAGACACTGCATCAGTGTTGGGCAGGGCCATCGGTCCCTGCAGGGAAGCAAGCAGTGCCTGCTGGGGTGGCTGGCAGGGCCAGAGTGGGAACACACTGAAGGGAGCAGCAGCCGTGTCACCAGTGGCTCTGAGAGCTGGTTGGCTTGGGACTCTGATGTCCAAGCGGGAGGAGAAGGCTCAGAGCCAGCACTTGAACTCTCGCAGGTGAGGGACCAACTAAAATGCATCTGCGTCCTCTGCCTCCAAGCTGCAGTGTGGCCACTCTATTTGCAAGAAATCTGGACCACAAGTCAAGAGAGAGAAGATTTTATTCTTATTTAATAAGTTAACCAGCCAACCAATAGGTTTTAAGCCCCAAACTGCAGTGGGCAGGGGACTGTAATATGCAACAGAATATTAAGATCTGTACATTTATGATTACAACAAACAATCCAGTGCTAAATCTTGTAGTCAGACTAGAAACCACAAGAATCTGGGAACGGCTTAGGGAAGGCTTCACAGAAGAGGCTCTTGATGTCGGTCCTGAAGACCTGCAGGTTTGGGCGGTGAGGACGCAGGAGCTGCACACTCCACTGGGCGGAAGGTGGGGCGTGCAGGTTAGAACTAGACGAATGAATGAGATGACAAAGTCAGTGTGTATGAGCAGGTGTGTGTAGGCGCTGAGGAAGACAGGAATAGGTCGATAGATAAGAAGACAAAAGGAACACAGAGTGATGGGAGCTATCTTTCTGGAAGAGTCAGATTGAGTAAGGAAGAAGTGAAAGGAAGAAGAGACAGGTAAGACAGGGCCAGCGGAGTAGGGGCCTTCCAAGGCAGGCTGAGGTTTCAGTCTTAACTTGATAGACAATTGGAATTTTTCTTTCTTTCTTTTTCTTTTTTTGTTTTAAGAGACAGGACTCTGTCTTTTTGTTTTAAGAGACTCTGTTGCCCAGGCTAGAATGCAGTGGTGGCATGATCATAGCTCACTGTAACCTGGAACTCCTGGGCTCCAGCAATTTTTCTGCCTCAGCCTCCCCAGTAGCTGGGACTACAGGCGTGGGTTACCACGCCCATCTGACAATTGGATGCTTAATAGATTATCTATCTATAGATAAAAGAAGGTTTCCTGGAGGGGACAGTCTAGAATTCAAATGGAAAACAGGAAGGGAGAAGCATCTGTCTTTTTTTTTTTTTTTTTTTTGAGACAGAGTCTCGCTTTGTTGCCCAGGCTAGAGTGAGTGCCGTGGCGTCAGCCTAGCTCACAGCAACCTCAAACTCCTGGGCTCAAGCAATCCTCCTGCCTCAGCCTCCTGAGTAGCTGGGACTACAGGCATGTGCCACCATGCCTGGCTAATTTTTTTCTATATATATTAGTCTAATTAATTTCTATTTATAGTAGAGATGGGGTCTCACTCTTGCTCAGGCTGGTTTCAAACTCCAGACCTTGAGCAATCCGCCCGCCTCGGCCTTCCAGAGAGCTAGGATTACAGGTGTGAGCCACCGTGCCCGGCCTGCATCTGTCTTTATAAAATGAAACTACAGTGGAGGGCAGACAAGCCCAGGCCCCTGGAACCATTCTCTGTCCGGCCCTGTGTGCCCATCCCCAGTGGCCCCAAAGTGGAGAATGGTGATGGCACCTGAGAACTTTATTTTCATGACAGTGTCTGTGTTCTATTCCTTTCCAAGACCCAAGTGATATACTAAGCAGGTAAGCATGCCTTTGCTTAAAAAAAAAAAAAAAAAAAAAAAAGCACTTATGGTATCCATCTGTTTTCTCATTTTCTCGTCTTTATTTATTGAAATTTGACAAGAGCTAGAAAGGGGATTATTCAAAGGGAAGAGAGGTTCTTCTAGTAGAGTACATTGAAAGGTATTCCATGGAATGGAGGAGGGAGTTCTAGAAAAATTATCATGGAACTTATGTTAGGATGTAACAGGCTGAGAGAGAAAGGAAATGGGAGAAGAATGTTAGCGAAAACTTAAAATCCACTATTGTTTCTAAAACCAATTTCCTTTTGCTCTTCCCATTTCTACATGGTTCCCAGCTTCCACCCCTGATCAGTCTCCCCCATATTCTGTAGAGCAAATTCCATTATCAGGTTGTCCTCCCTGCTGAACAGTTATAGTGTCCTGCACTCTGTCCGTAGAAGAGGACATTTACATGGGTCAAACGTATAATGGTTCTCTGGCAGAGGGTCTGAGGAAATATGTGCTAAACACTGAACATTGACAGTTTTCAAAATCATACCCACATGACATACAGAAGCTTTGAACCTAGAAGACAAAAGCCAGCTGTTCTGACAACACACAGTTCATCTCCAGAGACACCCAGGCCCAGCGGCATGTACCAAGAGTGCCTTCACTGTGGGCCCCACGCTGGGCAGACAGGAGCATAGAGACAGGCTACCGGATTCTGGCTGCGGGGACCAGACAGACACACATTAGAGATGAGTAACGGCATGAGAAATGGGGTGATACACAATGGGTAATACTTTTTGGCTTTGAAGCATTTTTTCTAATATTAGCAGTTATTCCAGCTTTCTTTTGATTAGTGTTTGCATGGCATTTCTTTTTCTATCCTTTAACTCTCAATCTTTCTGTGTTTTTTGTTTTTGTTTTTATTTGTTTGTTTTTTGAGACATAGTCTCACTCCATTGCCCTGAGTGCCATGGTGTCAGCCTAGCTCACTGTAACCTCAAATTCCTGGGCTCAAGCAATCCTCCTGCCACAGCCTCCTGAGTAGCTGGGACTGCAGGGGAATGCCACCCCCACACCTGGCTGTGTATTTCTACTTTTATCTCTTCTACTTGCCTGTCCCCTTTTGTTCCTCCTATTTTGAATGAATTGTTGGTTTTTGTCTATAAGCCCTGCTTTCACAGTATACTATAAACTCTAGGATATGGTATTTTTATTATTATTGTTTTCTAGATATTCTGAAATTTTGAATTTGATTTGCTATTTAACGTAAGATTTGTTTAAGAAAGATGGTATTTGTCAGTGATGTGCTGGGTTTTTTCTAATAAGTTTTTTTGTTGCATAGGTTTTTAGTCTTGTGATAAGAAATGGTTGTTGCTATTTCTACCTTTTGGACTTTTGTGAGGCTGTCTATGTAAATTTTTTGACAGTTCCAAACACTTGAAAAAAAGGTGCACTCTGTTTTCTTGGAATAGGATTTTGTATACCTCCATAATGTTTTCCTTAGTAGTTTTAAGTACTTTGTACTGATACTTGTTTTATGACTTCTTGAAAAGGGGTCAAAGATTCTTTCTGTTAGTAGAAAGAATTTTTCTGTTAGTAGAAAGAGTTTTTTCCCATTTTTCTTATATTCTTTTTTATTGTATTTATATAGTTCTTGCTTTTTATATTTTAATGCCTTTTTTCCCAGCATGACCTTTAAGGAGAGTTATATCTTTATTTTTTTTTTTTAAATATTTAAAATAGCACAAACCTGAAGGAGAGAAGAGAGAGAGAGTTATATCTTAATTGTGGTATTCTAAGTACCATAAAACAAGTTTTGTTGTCTTTTTTTTTTTTTCACATCAGACGGGTAATGTGCCGATGTCGTAACAAGGTTTGAGGGAGGCACATCTCACGCATGCGCATGAAAACCCAATCATCACGCTTATGAACTACAAAAGGGTCTTGTTGTCTTATTTAACACATTTTTCTGCCTCGAATTCAGTTCTGTCTGATGAGATCAAGATCTCAGATTTCTTTCACTTTAAGTTTAGCTTATATATCTCTGCCCAACTCTATATTAATTTTAAATTTAAACATTTAAATTTATTTTTCCCTTCTTTCATGAAGGCACAGAAAAAATTTAAAGCTTTATCTTAATTTTCATTTGTCTGGTATACATCTCCAAGTAATTTCTTTAGAAATTGTAACAGTAGGATGTTTCAAAGACCTTCCAAGGCAGAAAATAGCTTGCTTTCTTTTTTTAACATCATACATCAGTGATATACGGGCAGCCACAGAGTATCTGGGTCACCACACTTTGTTCCTACCTCCATAGACTGGACGCCAACTGGGCGCTGAACGAGGGTCTGCAGACCAGACCCGGTGCGGCCGGGCCGCTGTCGCGTGCGCATGCGCAGGAGGGGCCGGTGGGTCAGGTCTTTCCATCAGCTGTTCCTGCTGTGACTCTTTCTAGGCACCCCCAAAAGAAGTTCTGGATTGAAAAGCCTATCAGTCCTGCTGTCAAAAAGCAGGCAGAGGAACTTTCAGATAAACTCCTTTCTTTAGAGAAAGGACTCAGGATTTCACAGTGAAGGAATGGATGAAGAAAGGGTTCTGAGCCCTGAAACCGGCTTCTTTCTCTATGATGTTTCCTTAGGTTTCGATTCTCGCCTTGGCTTCTTTTTGCTCTTAGTAGGTGACTCACTCCAGGCAGGGACATTGGGGAGGGAATCCAAGTAAGTCCAAACCAGCAAGTCTTTCCACGTGAATATTACCTAAAAATGTTACCAACACTAAGGTAGAATCATGGTCAATAAGTCCCAAAGTTGGTAAAAAATATATTTCATATTAAAAAGGTAAAAGAATATTGAGTGGCTGAGGAAAACAGTATGGCAGCTTAAAATATTAAAAATAAAATTACCATATAATCCAGCAGTCTCACTGCTGGGAATACATGTAAAGTGTTGCAGCAAGTGTACAGCCAGCATTATAGCTCTTGACTGGGGAAAGAACCGAGCGGTACACGAAGAGTCGGGGAACAGCCTTTGTTCCTCCCCAGCAGGCTTGGCACACCTAGTGCTACAGCCCTCTTTCCGTCTTCTGATCTTCTGCCCCCTTTCCTTGTTCTCCTCTTGCTTTTACACCCTTGGTAGGGCTCAAAAAGCATCCCATCAACATCAAGCTTTAACATCCAATCAGCATCAAGCTTTAACATCCAATCAAAAACAGTGGATTCAAAAATTACCCAATCAGGATCATGTAAGTGGCTGGTCGGAAACAGGCAGCGGCACGCGGGCCTGGGGGAATTCCAGCACTCCCAGCTCTGTGAGCCCTCTGACCGGCCACGCAGGGCTGCCCCGGGAGATGCGGAGCAACTACGGGGAGGCGGCAAGCGGTCGTGTCCCGGAGCCCCACATTTTCTGTATCAAAAGAAATGAAAGCAGGCCCAGCCAGGCACTCGGCGCGGCAGGGAGGCGCGAAGGCGGCAGCGGCGGTGGCGAGGCCGCTCCACCGCACACGCACACACAGACCCGGCAGCGGGAACGCAGATGACATACCTGTAACATGGAAGCCGCCGCTGCGCCGACGACAGCAGCAACAGCCACAGCAGCAGCGGAGGCGGCACCGCGCTGAACAAAGGCTGCTTTAACCCTTTCATATTTGCTGAGAAAGCAGCCATGTGACAGTAACTGAACACGGGTCCAAAGTCTTTCCAAAAGGCCAAGGTTCACAAGAACTCTGATCACATTCATGAACATGGGGGACATGAAGGCCCCAGACTTCGATGACCTCTTGGCAGCATTTGACATCCCAGAGATGGTGGACCCTAAAGCAGCTATCGAGCCTGGGCACGACGGCCGAGAGCCACATGAAGCAGAACGCGCACGGAGACCACGACTCCCACACGCCGTCCTCCGACGTGAGCGTCAGCGCCACCCTGAAGAACGTCCGCAACATGGATTGCTCCGAGGGCGGGGGAAGGACGGCCGCAACGCCACCGGCAACGGCCTGCACAACGGGTTCCTCACGGCGTCCTCCCCGGACAGCCACGGCAAAGACGGGGGGCGAAGCCCTAGAAGGGAGGCGCGCCTCCGAGGCGGCTCCGAAAGACGGGCGTTCAGCCAGTTCAGCCCCATCTCCGGTGCCAAAGAGGAGGAGATGGAGGTGGACGACCCGACAAGGAGGACGTGCGCCGAGCTTCAGGTCCAATGTGCTGCCGGGTGGGCTCCCCAGCAGGACTACGATAAGGGAAGTCCCCGGAGGGGAGAACTCCAGCAGGACCGGAACCTCCGCATCTGGCAATACAAAAGTCAAGAGAGAAATAGAACCAAATTCTATTTTTAACCAAATAAATACAAAAACACACTCAAGAGAGAAATAGAACCAAATTCTATAAACCTGAGTGTTTATGAACCCTTTAAAGTCAAAAAAGCGGAGGATAAATCGAAGGAAAACTCCGAAAAGGGGGTTGAAGCAGGGTCCTGACGGGAAGCTGGCTCAGAGAGGCGACAGCGCGCCCGCCGGGTGGCGCCCTCGAGGGGAAGTCGTCCTGCAAGCTCTCGTCCCGCCTCGCGACCGCGGCGCTCAGCGCTAGGAAGGCGGCTGCGGACTCCTGCGAAGAGCCGGTGGCCCCTTCGGGGGAATCCTCTCCGTTACCGAAAGAAGTGAACGAAAGCCCGAAGGCCACCGACAAGTCTCCCGAGTCCCAGAACCTCATCGACGGGACAAAGAAACCCTCCCCAAAGCCACCGGACAGTCCCAGGAGCGTCTCAAGCGAGAACAGCAGCAAGGGGTCCCGTCCTCTCCTGCAGGATCCACACCAGCGATTCCCAACGTCCGCACAAAACCATCAAGACGTCTTCTGGGGAAATCAAGAGAACAGTGACCAGGGTATTGCCAGAAGCGGACCTTGACTCTGGGAAGAAGCCTTCCGAGCAGACGCCGTCCGTCATGGCCTCTGTGACGTCCCTGCTGTCGTCTACAGCGACCGCCGCCGTCCTCTCCTCTCCCCCCAGGGCGCCTCTGCAGTCGGCAGTTGTGGCCAGCGCGGTCTCCCCCGTGGAGCTGACCCCGAAGCAGGTCACTATCAAGCCCGTGGCTACCGCTTTCCTCCCAGTGTCCGCTGTCAAGACGGCAGGATCCCAAGTCATTAATTTGAAGCTCGCTAACAACACGACAGTGAAAGCCACGGTCATATCTGCTGCCACGGTTCAGAGTGCCAGCAGCGCCATCATTAAAGCCGCCAACGCCATCCAGCAGCAGACTGTGGTGGTGCCGGCGTCCAGCCTGGCCAATGCCAAACTCGTGCCAAAGACTGTGCACCTTGCCAACCTTAACCTTCTGCCTCAGGGTGCCCAGGCCACCTCTGAACTCCGCCAAGTGCTAACCAAACCTCAGCAACAAATAAAGCAGGCAATAATCAATGCAGCCGCCTCGCAACCGCCCAAAAAGGTGTCTCGAGTCCAGGTGGTGTCGTCCTTGCAGAGTTCGGTGGTGGAAGCTTTCAACAAGGTGCTGAGCAGTGTCAATCCAGTCCCAGTTTACATCCCAAACCTCAGTCCTCCCGCCAATGCAGGGATCACGTTACCGACGAGTGGGATCACGTTACCGACGCGTGGGTACAAGTGCTTGGAGTGCGGGGACTCCTTTGCGCTTGAAAAGAGCCTGACCCAGCACTACGACAGACGTAGTGTGCACATCGAAGTAACGTGCAACCATTGTACAAAGAACCTCGTTTTTTACAACAAATGCAGCTTCCTTCCCCATGCCTGTGGGCATAAGGAAAAAGGGGTGGTGATGCAATGCTCCCACTTAATTTTAAAGCCAGTCCCAGCAGATCAAATGATAGTTTCTCCATCAAGCAATACTTCAGCTTCATCTTCCACTCTGCAGAGCTCTGGGGGAGCCGGCACACACACTGTAACAAAAATTCAGTCTGGCATAACGGGGACGGTCATATCGGCTCCTTCCAGCACTCCCGTCACCCCAGCCATGCCCCTGGATGAAGACCCCTCCAAACTCTGTAGACACAGCCTAAAATGCTTGGAGTGTAACGAAGTCTTCCAGGATGAGACGTCACTGGCTACACATTTCCAGCACGCTGCAGATACGAGTGGACAAAAGACTTGCACTATCTGCCAGATGCTGCTTCCTAACCAGTGCAGTTATGCGTCACACCAGAGAATCCATCAGCACAAATCTCCCTACACCTGCCCTAAGTGTGGGGCCATCTGCAGGTCGGTGCACTTCCAGTCCCATGTCACCAAGAACTGTCTGCACTACACTCGGAGAGCTGGTTTTCGATGTGTGTATTGCAATGTTGTATACTCTGATGCAGCTGCGCTGAAGTCTCACACTCAGGGTTCCCACTGTGAAGTCTTCTACAAGTGTTCTGTTTGTCCAATGGCGTTTAAGTCTGCCCCAAGTACACATTCCCATGCCTACATACAGCATCCTGGCATCAAGATAGGAGAACCGAAATTAATCCTCAACATGAAACACATCCCAAATCAGGGGTCCCATATGCAACTTGGTATCTTGACTCTGATGATGGGGATTAGTGAATTTCAGGGTCCTCAGTTTTCATGACAAGTAAGACTTCTGGGCACTGATGCAGCCTCCCCCCTCCAGTCAATGTAGTTTTTGTATGGTTCATTTATTCAAATAAATGAAGTTTAATTGTAAAAAAAAAAAAAAAGAACTGAAAGCAGCGTCCTGAAGAGATGCTCACTGTGGTGTGGTCACAGCAGCACAATTCACAGGTGCTAATAAGTGGAAGAAATCCAGATGTCTATCAACAAATGAATGGATAAACAAAATGTGGTATACATATACAACAGAATATTGTTCAGCCTAAAAAAATGAAGGAAATTCTGACACATGCTATAACATGCATGAACTCTGAGGGCACTGTGCTGAGTGAACTAAGTTAGTCACAAAGACAAAAACTCTATGATTCCACTCACGTGAATATCTAAAATAATCAAATTCATAGAAACAGAAACTAGAATGGTGGTTGCCAGAGTTGTAAGAGGAGGAAATGAGGAGTTGTTATTTGATGGGTATAGAGTTTTAGTTTTGCAGGATGGAAAATTTCTGGAAATTAGTTACATAACAATGTAAATATATGTAACACTAGTGAATTGTACATTTTAAGATGATAAACTTGGTAAATTTTATGTTATGAGGGGTTCTTCTGGTCACAATTAAAAATTTTAAATTAAAAAAAAGAATATTGGGAGAATTAATCTCAAACAGGTACCTTTGAGAGTAGAGAGAAATAGTGTGGTTTAGGACTTAAAGAACAGAGAACCCAAGGTATTCTTTAAGGAAGCAACAGATCCTCAAGGCACATGCTGGATACCTGATTGAACAGCTTTTTAGACAACTCTGGGTGTCTCCTGCATTGATTTATCTATTTTACTTGAGGTTTCATGGTAACCTGTCATCTTTTAATGTTGTATTAGCCAACAGTAAGAGACAAATGTGATGCCAAAATCACTTACTTTTTTTGCTCACTATAGGAGAGTCAGTGAGGGGTCTGGGATATAAGGCAAGCGAGAGTATGTGGAGAGGACAGCATGCTGATGTTTGCCTCCACTCATGAAAGTCCTTTACTTTTGGATCAGTTCTTTAAACACAGAGGTCTCTGTGGTGGCTAATCTATCTACATTCTTGATCCTGATTCCTCAGGTTTCAAAAGCATGAGGCTTTTGGGGAAAGCTTTCCCCAGCTGTAATGATCCCAGTCCCTCTCCTTTCCTCCTCTCAAATCTTATCATGCTGCCATGCCTTTGAATTTTCTCCCTGCATTCTCTGCATTTTCTAGACATGGGAGCTAATAATATTATGAGCATGAGATTTGAAGTAATCTCTTCTGGTCTCCAAAGGGAGTCTCCCACCATCATTCAAAAAGCCTCAGAGTCTACGGGATCTACTCTTTGATATCTTTGATGATGCCACACATTTATTCCTTTTCCCTCACAGTGAGCATCATCCTGAACTGTCATCCTGAACTCTCAGTGTCTCCAAATGGGAAGAGCATGATACTCACTGGCTCGTGGATGAACAAATGCCAACATGGTCAGTGATCTGATCCTGAGCCTGGTGTGCTGGGCAGCCAGGGCTTCACCTGGGGCAAAGTGTACTGGGAAGTGAAAGTGGATAGGATCTGGTGGGAAGCAGAGGAGGAAAACGAAGCAATGAAATACAGAGGTGGAGCCAGAGGTATGTTTGGCAGTAGCTATCTTGGTGGTTTCATGGACATTACTGGTAGGTGTAGTTCTCCTGGATATAGAAATGAGAATGAAGAGTTGGAGGAGGGATGGAATATGGTCAATATTCTCCCTGGTGGGGGTGGCAAGAGAGTCAGTGGTGAGAAGAGGACTTCTCAACTTCACCCCCGAGGAGGGATTCTGGACTTTGCAGCTGTTGTCAGCTGGGGTCTATGTACATACTGGCCCTGAGTCTTTCCTGTCCTACTGTCCAGCACAGACTGGAGGTGCTTTGGATTACGACGTGGGGAAGGTAACCTTCACCAATACTAGAACTCAAGAGTTTAACCTATGCTTACTTAAATCTGAAAAGGGAAAACACACACATACACACACACACACATACACACATATGGAAGGGAAAGGGAGGGGAGGGGAGGGAGGAAGGGTGTTTATCTATGCATTCTTATCTTCCTTCACAGGGAGAATTTTTCCTTTCCTATGGTTTAATTACATCAGACTTAGACTTCTACTGAGACCCTGAGAAAAGATCCCATAGGCATAGCCCTGGGTATTTCCATTTATCTCTTATTCCTCTACATCATTTACAACTTTTTAGCTCAGCTAGACTGTCCTGCTGGGTTTCTGAATCCCCTTAAGCTGACCAGAGCAGTCGAAGAGTCAGGAGTCTCTTATTCTCTCTGCTTCTTCTCTAAAATGGGAAATGACAATACTTGATCTGATTTATCTACAGTGGAAGACTTGAAATGTCTTTAAAGTATTTATTAAAACATGTGTTACTAGTCTTATTTCTATTTGATTTGGTCCTTGTCTTCTGCCACTGAGCAAAGGCGTGGGAAGGAGTGCCTATGTCATATTATTACGATTTCTATCTCTCATAATGATTGATTACAACATCTGTATGGATTTCTAAAGGGCCTTTCTTGTTACTTATTTCTCCTGCCATCCTTCTAAGCATCTGGGAAAATAGTAAATATTCTGATGCAACCCATGCCTGATCAAGCATTTGAACTTTATACATTCTGGTATTTGAGATATCTACGATAAGAACTGGCTTATTAATTTCTACTATGTTCTTATAATTTTTACAATAAAAAGGGAGAGGATAGCCAGGCGCGGAGGCTCACGCCTGTAATCCTAGCACTCTGGGAGGCTGAGGCGGGCGGATTGCTTGAGGTCAGGAGTTCGAAACCAGCCTGAGCAAGAGCAAGACCCCGTCTCTACTATAAATAGAAAGAAATTAATTGGCCAACTAATATATATAGAAAATTAGCCAGGCATGGTGGCGCATGCCTGTAGTCCCAGCTACTTGGGAGGCTGAGGCAGAAGGATTGCTTGAGGCCAGGAGTTTGAGGTTGCTGTGAGCTAGGCTGATGCCACGGCACTCACTCTAGGCTGGTCAACAAGTGAGACTCTGTCTCAAAAAAAAAAAAGGGGGGGGGAGGAAAAAAAGAAGTTGGGAGGGAGCATATCCCTCATGAATAGATTCCCGGCCTCTCTTGGGGTGAGAGTTCTCACTCTGTGAGTTCCTCCCAGAGCTGGCTGTTAAAAAGAGCTGGCACCTCCCTCCTTGCCTTTCCTCTCACCATGTGATCCCTGTGGGCTGCTGGCTCCCCTGGCCAGTCCACCACAGCTACAGCAGCGTGAGGCCCGCCCCAGATGCAGGTGCCCATGCAGGTGGCTGAATTTTCCAGCCACCACAACTGTGAGACAAACAAGCCTTTTCTTTATAGACCACCCAGTCTAGGTATTCTGTTATATTAATAGCAACATGAAAGTGAGACAGTCTATATGACATAAAGCTAACCCTTATCAACATACTCTATATAAAACAGTAGAAAGGATAAAGAAGAAAGGAGGAAATTAGTTTTTAAAAAACAGATGAACTTATTTCTTTAGGGGCACAGCAAAGATGACAATATGAGTTGATACAGTATTTTTCAATTTTGCAGCTGTTGAGACTTACTAAGTTTCCCTTTTCACTACACAGTCCTGATTTCTTTGCTCATTCCAAGACCAACTGCTTCTGGATGATAGGATAAAAGGCAAAAACATTGATTTCCATCAGTATCCTTTATTTCTCTATTCAGCAACAGTAAACCCAGAGACGGTGGGCTTGACCGTGGGCGAGGTGGGTAGGCAGTGGAAATCCAGAATGAATGATACATTGCGGTGAGGATAAATACTCACTCCACGGTGGAGCGGATCCAGTATAACCAATCTTCCACTAGGGGCTACTAGTCCACATTTGGATATGATGACATAGTTGGGTTTAGGATTCATAACTGCAGGCAAACTGGGTAGTCAGCTATGGTCCAAGATGGACCACCTTCACTGAAGGAAAATCCATGCATAGTCCCTATGCCACCATGGCTTTCTTTTTTTCCCATCCAAAATTGCAATGGCTGAGAAAGAGAAGGACTAACAACTACAGAAGGGCTTCTAGACCACCAATTATTGAGTCTTATCTTCAGTTTGGGTGTTTTGTTGAACATTTCCTTGGAATATACTTATTTCCATGTTCTGAGCCCATCCCAAGAATTCAGTGCCTACAAACACCTCCAAAGGTCCTGTGACTACTCCTCCAGTTTTTATCTTCCGTATATGTGGACATCAGCCAAATATTTGGTCACTACCTATGAATTTCTATAAAATCTTAACATCAGACCAGTCATTGTTCAACTTCCAGGCAATGAGCAATTGAGTATCTTTCAAACCTCTGCCCAATGTGATATTTTGATTTCTCTGTTGTTCTTTAACTACGAAAGAGAGTGTATCAGTAGAAACCTTACTCCTCCCACCTATCCCCAAATCCCTGGACCCAGGAGATTTCTTGAGAAAGTTTTATAAAACAGGGAAAAATAATTCTAACCTTTCACGAATTCTTCTAGGAACTAAGGAAAAAAGAGATACTGTTCTGCAGCTCATTTTATAAGATTAGCATAACCTTGATAACAAAATGTGTCAAGCACAGAATAAGAGAAAAAGACTGGAAAATTTCCCTCATGAACAAATTCCTAGGGAAAATGCTAGCACAATGAATCTTGCAATATACTTAAGGATAAAAACACATAGCTATTACCCCAATATGTAACATTTGAATATCAATTAATGTAATTAATTAAAAGATTTAAGGAGAAAAAGACAATAATTCAATAGATACAGAAAAAAACATTTGATAAGATTCAACATACCTTCATGATTAAGGATTACGCCGGTAATCCTAGCACTCTGGGAGGCCGAGGCGGACGGATCATTTGAGCTCAAGAGTTCAAGACCAGCCTGAGCAAAAGTGAGACTCTGTCTCTAGTACAAAAATAGAAAGAAATTAGCTGAACAACTAAAAATACATAGAAAAAATTCGCCAGGCATGGTGACACATGACTGTAGTCCCAGCTACTTAGGAGGCTGAGGCAAGGAGGATCGCCTGAGCCCGGGAGTTTGAGGTTGCTGTGAGTGAGGCTGACACCATGGCACTCTAGCCTGGGCAATAGAGTGAGACTCTGTCTCAAGAAAAACAAAAAAAAAAGATATATTACAAACTAAGAATAGAAAGAAACTTCCTTAAAGTAAAACAGGCTAACAATGTACTTGATTGACCAGGGACTGATGCTATAAATAGAAAAACAAACAAACAAAAAAATCCCAATGTACTTGAATGTAAATATTTAGGTTAAATACACAATATTATATTTAATTTTCTTTGGTATTTGAAATAAATTTACAAATAACTTGAAATTACTTCACTTATTTTATTTTTCAGGAACTCATAACAGTTAAGTCAAATTTGTAGCACAATTAAACAAACGGC